GACCAGAATTTTTCTTAAGGTTTCTTGTAAATTGTGGGTAGATAGATGTTTATGTCACTTTGATCTGATAAAGGATATGTAAGACATCTACTCAAGGAGGTGGTATTATGTCTTACTTGAGTTTCGTTTGAAATTTATCAACATAAATTTTATTGTGGGAGTTCTGTACAGCACATTTTTCTCAAATCCTTTAAATAGTTCTATTTGTGGAGGGAATTTCTTTGTTGTGAATCCAAAATTTCCCAATAGTTTCTCATTTTAAAGCCAAAAATAAGCATTTCTTTCTATAAATTCCTCAATGTGTTCATTTAGTTTTAATTTCAAGTGTATCGTGCTAGACAATTTTTCTCTCAAGAATCTATCCTATATATTTATAAGTCTACTATTCATCCATCTTTTGAATATTGCTGCTACATATAGTTCGGTGCTCCTGCTATATATTTAAAAATTCTTGGTAAAAATTCAAAGAAGAGTCAGCAATATTATTATTCCCAGCCTGGCATCTTGTCACTTTCTCACTGCCATAATCTCTGTGCTTTTACTACAAATACAAGGTCAGTACACTCCCATTTCACTCATGGCTTAGGTCAACTTGTGCTATGATTATTAGACACTTCCTGAAGGTGCTGCATGTTGGATTTGCCTCCCTAGACCTGTAACATCAAGAAGTCTTCTTCTTAACAAATCAACCAGAGTAAGATTCTAATCCATGTCTCATACTTATAAATGAACATTATAACCACTCTAACTATATGTGCCTATATATATATATATATATATATATATATATATATTTATATTTCATTTGTTACATATTTAATAAGCATGCTAAATTTTAAATACTTTTAAAAGATCATTTTGATACTTATAAAAAATCTCATATTTTATTTATTTATGCATTTACAGTCTGTTTCACGCATAAGAGTTTTTCAAAGTGGCTACTACTTTGTCTTAGATGCTCTCAAGTTTATGTTTAAGTAATAAAATCTGTCAGATTAATAAATAAAAAATCCTTCACATCTTTAGAAATTGCTTTGCTTATGTTAGGATATAAAACTGAGCAGATATGAATCTATTGAAAGTTTGAGAAAAATTTGTGTTTAACTTTGCTTGATCATTGAAGCACGTTGTAGATGAGATGGTCTAAAAGCACATCAGATCTAATGATGGTTTCTCCTGTCAAGGGGGATGCAGGCTCAAATCCTGCTGGAGAGTGCATATTTTTCTTTAATAAGTTTTCTTGAATATTCAAGCTGGTAGATGAAAATGAATAAATATACTGTTTTATAAATAAAATGAGAATCTAATCAAATATGGTTATCTACCAAAAATAACATTTAATATATATATATATATATATATATATATATATATATATTCAGTTTTATGGATATGAGTTTGCAACCTGGGTTTCATGGTTTTCAGATCATCAGAAAATTGTCTGATAATTGCAAAAGCGTGAAACCCAGTGTTACAAATGCCTCTCCATACAACTGAATATGTTAGCTCGATCACTGATATTGAGAGTTTTCCAATAAGTACCACTCATATATAATATATATAGAAATTATATATATATATATATATATATATATATATATATATATATATATATATATATATATTTATTGGAAAATTATAACACAATATGTTATAAAATCACTACAAAAATAGCCATTTTGTTTCAACATTTCTGGTGTCTTATCAAATGATGGTGTTGAATGTAGTATATATATATATATATATATATATATATATATACACACACATACATACATACATATATATAAAAATATATAAAATATATATATATATGCGCACTTATAAAAAATAACTTTTTGCTTTATTTATCCATTTACAGTGTTGTTTCATGCTTTGCAATTTTTCAAAATGGCTTGCTGCTTTTTTAAATAGTTTAAATGTTTTTAAATGTGTAAATAAAACAAAAATGTTATTTCTTATATGCATTAAAATACTTTTTTACAAAAATTTAAAATAGAGCACTCTTATATATTTCTTTAAACATTAGGAATTCTGCTTATCTGCCTGTCCATTCAAGATACTTAACATAGAAAATGGGTGGAAGGTTTGAACCTTCCTAAAAACTTTATTAAGTCTCTTGAATGTGCAAACTAGTAGATATAATTCAAACTTCTGTCCATATTTCTGTTGTGGCCTTTTTACGGCCAGAAATAAAGACATCAGAGAGGAATTGATTTAAACAAATATATTAACAGAAACAGTAATACAAACATATACAAATGAGTATTACAGCAAGAATGTTTTGGTCCGATTGTCAGTACCTGCTCCTATTTATAGCTGGGAGAGTCCATGCATGTGTGGGTAAATTGCCATAACAATTTCTGAAATGAGGTATTGTAACTATTTACATTGTTCAGACTGTTATCCTCATCTTTATTGTCTATATTTGCAGTCTATATTTCTGAGATGAGGTCTTGTAACTATTTACACTATTTATATTGTTTGGATTGTTCTCCTCATTTTTATTGGCATATTCACAGTCTATATTTCGGAGATGAAATCTTGTAACTATTTATACTATTTACATTGTTTGGACTGTTGTCCTCATCTTTATTGTCTATATTCACAGCCTATATTTCTGAGATGAAGTCTTGTAATTATTTTCACTATTTACATTGTTTGGACTATTGTCCTCATCTTTATTGTCTATATTCACAGTGTTTCAGCCCTTACATACTCCAGCCTTCTTCAGGTGATATTTGTTTGAATTTCAAACCAAACTCACAGCAGTCAATCTGTATGTTAGCATTTTTGAAGATTGGTTTGATGACATTTGTTTAGACGTTTCTTCCTAATGTTTATTTCCTGAAATGGGTTGATATATAATCTTCACATTCCTGTGTCACTAAGAATCTTTTCCATTTCCTCGACCCACCGTTTGCAAATATCATTACAAGGATTGGAAAACGTCAAGTTCTTTTTCTGCAGTTTGACCTTTGTAGTGCAGTGAGTTTCTCTCCTGAAGGTTAGCATCAGCCATGCTGATGGAAGGCAAAAAAACCTTCTTTAAGATGATTAATAGAGAGCAGTTTAATTTTGGATTTGTTAAAATTAACGAGCCACTTCGTGTCCCAGTTAATAACTGACTGAAGGTAATTTTTAAGATCCTCTGTCAATTTTATTTTAAAGAACCTGTCATACTTGCTATTACAACAGCAATTAGCCAATGGTTGATTAGCACAGGTGGGTTGGAGAGAGGTGTTCCCCTTCACTGGTTGGATTGGGAAACCCTTCTGACTACTCTCATACAATTTAGCTGGCAGGTCAATGCTGTTTATTGGGATGTGCCATTGCAGTTCCCATATGACTTCTTGAAGCCATGTGTGAGAGTTGGATGTCGGCCGTGGACCAGTACAGTTTTGCATCCCAATTCATCTGAGTAAAGTAGGGTCAACCACTTTGCTGCAAAGGTACTACTACCACTGACGATATGCCCATAAACACAAATATATATTTTATACTGGATGTCAGAGTAAATAGTTTTTGTCATCAAATGTATCACTTATCCTATTATAATTGTTCTTGTTCTTCCCATCTTTGTAAGCTGTCACACCCTGCCAATACCTCATAAATAATAGACTATTCTGTATTTTAATCACTTGGGAAGAGACGGAAAAGACACTACTTGGTTTCAGTAAGAAAATGAAAGAAAGAACAAAGGAAGAAAAGATAGAATCAGATTAAGCTGATAAGAACAAACACTGAACTTTGATCACAGCCAGAAGGACAAGAAGTTGGTATTTTCCAATGCACCCACATCACCACCAAATGTGATATAATGTCAGTTTAAAGTGGGTTTTACAGCAATACCATGAAAAAATCACCTAAGCCCCCTCAGCACATTCTTCTTTTATGGATGCTTCAGGTGCCAAGCAATAAACCAAGTCCCCTCCTAAAGGAGAAGTACTGCCTGAGTTGGGAGCCCTCTGGGACTTGAGTTTAATATTATTTGAGCCACCTTGAGCCAAAAGGTAGAGAAGCAATAAGACTATATGTTATAGTGGAACACACCTATGCTATAGTTAATAGAGTCTCCTACCTATAATAAGTAGGAGTAGTAAGAGTAACAAGTCAGTCGCTGGGTCACTCAGTGGTTCAGTCAGTCAGTCGATGCTGGACGACCGTTAGTCAGATACTAAAGTATCAGCAACCACAACTAGATTTACTCTGCATCATACCTATTATATCAAGTTCCTAACGTTTTGTACATCGAACCTATTTTAGGACCGTAAGTACAAATACAAGCCTCCACTGTGAAACCACTCCACAACACTATAATAAAAGAGCTAGTTTACAGAGGTATAATATCGAATGACAGAAACCGAGTAAGGCAGTACCTCATAAATAATGGATTATTCCATTTTAATTGCATAGAAAAACAAGACATACAAATGAAAGAAAGAAGGGGAGATAAATGTTTAACGGCTGTTTCAGTGAAATGTAAAAAGTTGCCAATTTCAAATCTTTTCATTTGTACCCACTTCTTAAAATACAAATAACAACTTGTATTCATATTTATGATTGCTATTGTAATATTTTGTTAAAGTTATAAAGCTCAAATATTTAACAATGTTATAGGGGAATTTCTATGGATATTTTATTGTCATAAAACTTGTCATGAGCTTATTCAATCATTAACTAAAGAATTAAGATTCATCAGAAAATTCAAATAGTAAAAACATGAAATTTCTAGTTATGATTACTTTAAATGACAATGCTATCATTTAAATTTTTTTTTTCTGACATCTTCATAAATGGTGATGAAATCTCAGAGTCTCAAGATCATCAATTTATGGTAATTTTCAGTCTGGTCAAATGGTGACGAGCAGAGAGATGAATGATTTATTTTTATCGTGACTTACTGCGATCTGAAATGCAGAAGGAACTTTACACATTAGATTTCTCTTGCAATGTGCAATACATGAATCGTATTTCACACTAGACAGGAGGAAATGAATTCAAATAATCTTGGAGTAAGAAGATGGTAATTGCAAAGTCATCTTGAGTGATGGCAACCAAAATTCAGGAATATCCAGTTTATCACAAGGTTGCTTATTGGCAAGTTTAGAGGAAATGAAGAAAGGAAATAAGCAAGGAAGAAAAGAAAAGAGGAAAGAAGAGAAGGAGGAGAGAAAGAAAGAACAAAAGAAAGAAAGCAAGTAAAGAAAGAAAGAAAGAAAAAAAGAAAGAAAGAAAGAAGAGAAGGAAGGCAGGAAGAAGAAAAGAATTAAGAAAGGAAGCAAGAAAGAAAGATGGAAAGAAGGAATGAAAGAAAGAAGGAAGGGAGAAACGTGGAAAAGGAGGATAAAAGAAAGAAGAGGAAAAGAATGAAGAAAGGAAAGAAAGAAGAGGTAAAGAATGAAGAAAGAAGGAAGGGAGAAACGTGGAAAAGGAGGATAAAAGAAAGAAGAGGAAAAGAATGAAGAAAGGAAAGAAAGAAGAGGTAAAGAATGAAGAAAGAAAGAAAGAAAGAAGGAAAGGTAGGAAAGAAGGATAAAAGGAAGGAAAGAAAGAAAGAACAAAGGAAAGAAAGAAGAGGAAAAGAATGAAGGAAGAAAGAAAGAAAGAAAGGAGAAAGGTAGGAAAGAAGGATAAAAGGAAGGAAAGAAAGAAAGAAGAGGAAAGGAATGAAGGAAGAAGAAAAGAATGATGAAAGAAAGAAAGAAAGAAATAAAGAAGGAATGAAAGAAAGAAGGAAGGGAGAAAGTTAGGAAAGGAGGATAAAAAGAAGGAAAGAAAGAAGGAAGAAAAGAAAGAAAGAAGAAAGAAAGAAAGATGGAAAGAAGGAATGAAAGAAAAAAAGGAAGGGAGAAAGTTAGGGAAGGAGAGAAAAAGAAAGGAAGGTAGGAAGAATAAGAAAGAAAAAGTAAATGATGATAATACAAAAGATTGCAATCAAAATAGGAGAGAAATAAAGAAAAATAATTTGTTTGTATACGGTCATCGATATGGGTCATTTTGAAAAAGCATGGCAAAAATTAGTGAATTATCACACTTAGAGGATATTCACTATGTTTTTTTTCATTTAGTAGTTAAACTCAATGCAGATGAAATGCAAAAAAATTTTTTTAATAGCAGAACATTCAAACATTCAATAGTTATCTAGAGCAATAATTATTATATTAAAAATATTAAAGCTCTAAGATATTTATCAAAGATTGACTCAGAAAATCACAAAAACTTGGACATCAGGATCCAGATAAAAAATAATTATTATCTGGGTCCTCTGACTCAACCTTTGCTAAATATTAATATTTTTGAAACAATAATATATATATATATATATATATATATATATATATATATATATATTTGTGTATCAAATATATATGTGTATATATAGGATGGCAATAAAGTCACTGTAAAGTTACTTATAATAAAAAGCAAACTATTGAAGCAGGTTGCTTAAATTTCAAACAGTATTGGTAAATAATTTACTATTGTTTACCAGAATTAACCAGAAACATTTTAATAATAAATTTCTGAACTGTTTATTGGATTGTCTTAATTATTATTGTGAGTAACTGTATAGTAACTTTATTGCCAACCTGCATATAATATGCAGTATTTCCCAACATATGTGTAGGAATATATTTAAAATGGTGTTATATATATATATATGTATATATGTATACATATATATATATATATATATATATATATATATATATATATATATATATATTTGTTTCAACACTTCTGGTGTCTTATCTATATCTATATATATTTATTCAAAAATTATAGCATAAGCATGTTATAACATTGCTACAAAAATACCCATTTTATTTCAGCACTTTGGTGTCTTATAAAGTGATGATGCTGATTGTACTCGACATATATATATATATATATATATATATATATATATATATATATATATATATATATATATATATATATATATATAAAGTGGACATTGAATTTTCACACCCAGCAGCAACAGTCTTTCATTCTTAAACATAATCTTCAGCCTCATTGTCCACATTTATATTTAAATATGCTCTATCCTTGATTAAAACCCATAAATATACCTTACCTCAAAACTACATTTTTATCATATATATATATATATATATGGTTTGTTAGTTCTTTGATGGTATTTGCATGAATTTAGTAATAGATACATAAGTCATGAAAGAAGAGCTTTATCTTGTTGGTAGATGTAGGTTCTTCCTTTGCTTACACTCTTCATCCAAGACCTTACTTACAATGCTTTCCAAAACCTCCTTATTGCAGCATTGACCCTTAAGCCCTGAAGGAAGAAGTGAGGAAGGCATGCCATCTCCTTCTTTGGTCATGGACTTCCAGAACCATCACAGTTGCTGTGAACTTTGTGTGCATGATGGAATGACCTTAGGATCTCTGCATAATTATCCTTTCATTTTCTTGGTTGATCTTTTGGTTAAGATCAAGTTTTTTCTCATCAGAGAGAAAACAAAGCATTTCAGGCTTTTGATGTTTGTATGGTTTTCTTTTATCTTTGCAGCCATGAATTGGCCTTCTTGCATCATATATGACTTGTATGAAAACTATTATCTCCTGAGCAATGGCATCAATTGACTCTGTTGTTCTTATCGATAATCTTGTGCACCTCTCGTACAAATTTAGATGTTCTAATGGTATTGGTACTCTTAGCATTTGCATTTTACATTTAACACTAAATTATGCATATAGTAATTTTTGTTAAAAACTGTAATGAGCCAGAACAGGTCCATCACCAGGGTGCTTTGAGTGGGTGAGTAGCTTTTGAGTTGGGGTGGTGGGCATAAGTAAGTATTAGTATACTAAAATCCATTATCATTTTCACATGGGGAAAACATAATTTTATGGTGATGGGACAGCCCCTCTTTTGCAATTAGTCTGAGCTTGAATAACAGCTATGACCTAGGAATCAGCACTGACATATATATATATATATATATATATATATATATATATATATATATATATATGAAAAATTTCTGAGTTTATCTGTAGAAAAAAGACAATATGTATAAAGGTAAAAGTCAATAGGAAAACTGTATTATTAGCCGACACTATTGTATTCATATTGTAATTTTCAGTTGACAATATGAATACAATAGTGTTTTCTAAATTCTTCTAGTTGCTAAGAACATTTTGTTTATTGTTAATAGTTACTTTGTTTTCAATAAGTCCATTTCGTTTTTGCCTTGAAAACATCCACATTGGATGAAACGGGTTGGCTAATAATAGAGTTTTCCTATTTTCTTTTACCTTTATACATACATACATATATATATATTTGGTTGGATAGATGTGAGTTTGTGACCCTGGGTTTCACGCTTTAGGTCGGCAAGGTGGTTCCCTGGCCGAGCCAAGGGCCCAACACCTCCGGCAAGTTGGGCGAAGGACTTGTCTCCTTCAACACAGAATTTGTTAGTTTGTCTGACGATCGCTAAAGCGTGAAACCCAGGGTCGCAAACTCACATCTATCCAACCAAATATGTTAGCTCTATCTCTGATATTGAGCGCTTTCTAATAAGTACCATGCATATAATATATAAATAATTATACACATATATATTTATTTATATTTATATACACTTTTCACATATATATATATATATATATATATATATATAAAAAGAAAGAACAGCAAGATATATAATCCGGTGTTCTTAGAGATATTTTTATTTTTACAAAATAGGGCTCAATGTAAATTTACAGAGCATTAATATTATAAATTAATTGATTTGAAATATGGTTTTTTTTTTCACTACACAGTTCTAACCATGTTTCAAAATATATATATATATATATATATCTGAATAATTAATGGATTTATTTTTAATGCAACATTTTTATTAGTTCAAACATTATTTTGGGTGGATACCCATGTTTGAGTAGATACCCCATTTTTTAAATAGTATATTTTATGTCTATGTGCCAACACACTCAAGAAAATTACTTCTTTATTTAGTTTTCTGGCATGCACAGGCCAGTAGATGTAATAAACACTTTTTAAAAAAGTGGGGCATGTACTCAAATATGGGTATCTACTAAAAGTAATGTCTGAAGTCATTAAAAGTTACATATATATATATATATATATATATATGTATGTATGTATGTATGTATGTATGTATGTGTGTGTGTGTGTTTTGGAAAAAAACATTTATACATGTCTCATTGATATGACAAGCAAGGAAAATTTTGTAAGTTTTTATTCAGTTTTTCTATTGTCTTAACAGTTTTTTTTAAGAGTGTGTAGAAAACTGTAAGAACACTAGAAAAATTGAATAAAAACTTACAAAATTTTCTTTGTCACATTCATTGAAATCGTTTATCTATCTATGTTTGTTTATCTATCTATCTATCTATCTATCTAGCAATCTATCTCTGTTTTGATCTATCTAGCAATCTATCTTTGACTGTTTTGATCTATCTATAAGGAATAAAATAACTTACCTGCAGCACAAATAAACATTCGAACGTGCCTTGCATGTAAGCTGTCCAAAAAAAAAAAAAAAAGATATTGCAGCTTCACTGGTTATATATTAAAAAGACAGCTAGATCCTGGAGTAAGATATTCTCTCATGAGATTATCTTCGTGCATATGCAAATTTTGGCAGTCAATGATACATAAAAATGGGGAGAACAAAGCGACAGCAAAGTGGTTCACTACTGTGTTGAAATGGCTGCACTTTTCACAGACAGTAGAGTGAGAAGAAACTGATTGTGAGCATTTTTTTTTTTGCGAGGAAAGTTTAAAGCTTTTTGCCAGAAAAGTATGAACAGCTACAATATTTTCTACCAAATGAAGTACACTTGATTTTCAAAAATAAAAATGGACTTTTCCAAAACATTTTCTGTGACTTATACTTAGATGACTGGGTTCTCAGTCTAAGGATGACATTTAAATACCCCTTTTATCACATGACCTCAGAATGAAATATGTATGTTTATAAATGATTAAATTATAATAATAAAAGAAAATCAATAGGTTATTTAATGCCGACAACATTTTTAGGATAGATTCATATGAATAGAGTATGTATACTTTGGTTTAGATTGGTTTGGTTTATTTTGTTTTATGGCATATCAACCTCAGTGGGTTATTTAATGCTGACAAAAATTTTTATTGCTGCTAATATTTTGTTTTGTCAAAAATCTGTTTCAGGTAATATATTTCCTTCAAAAATTGTATTGCTGGTAATAATTTTTTTTAAAAAAAGTATTGCTGGTAATAGTTAACTATTTGCCCAAACATGGGTATCCACCCTAACAGATGCTACCACCCCAAATCAGGGTGGACCTGGGAACACCAGCAATTAAGAGGTGGTTCCATGCTCCTCAAACCTCCTGATCAGAGGCCTTGCAGCTGGATATAGTTTAACGTCTTACCCAGAACATGGATGTAGTTTAACGTCTTACCCAGGACGTGAAAATAATGTTATAATATAAAAACATGTTATATATGAACATAAAACAGATTTATGTTTATGTAACCATTGAAACTCTCTCATGATACACAGGAACAAAACTGATTTTACCAATGCCATCCTAATTAAAAAAGAATATAATTCTTTACAGAGAAAGTAATTCAAGAGCCTGCTAATAACAATATTACCAACTATAAACACACTTCAAAAACATTATATTGCATCACCAACTTTCACTGAATCCATTCTTAAAGAATCTAATGTATGTTTATCAAAAACAAGCAATGTGTAAGTAAAAATATTTCCAAATTAACAAAAATGACAACCCAAAAGTAAACACTATTTATCATATTATTTATTGGAATTGTTGGCAAAACATTGGCTAATTGCCAATTGATTCAAACTTTATAAAATGATTACTAATAAGGATTTCCTTATAGTTAGTTCACATATTTTAATAATTTAGTAAATGTTTATAAATTTATGAATAAAAAATTTTCACATTTATTTCAGAATCTCCTGCAACTCTTCTGAACACTCTCCTTGTTTGAGTT